GTCAGTTTTCCGAGCTAGTCAGGCTACGGAAGTGGGAAGAGGTTTCCCGCTGACACTGAGCTTAAGTCCCACAAACGGTTATGGTTCTGGGCGAGCATCCTGAACCCACGTTAGAGAGTCCACATGTGTCTAAGCAGGGATCATTTCCTGCAGGAGCGCACAGGAGCGGAGCTCCGGCAGTAGAGAGCCCAGGGGGCGGGCACATGCAACAAGCCCCCCTGCTCCCAGCAGCCCTCAGTCAGAGCAAGAAGCAACCAGGTAAATTGCAGAGCTTCCCCCAGCCCCCTGGTCCAAAACAGTTAAGTGGCACCTTTAAAAACAAGTTTTATTCAGGTACAAGCTCTCCCTCCTCTGCGAGGACAGATCTGCATGTCCCTCCCCCAATAGCTAGCAATCCAAAACAGTCCAGTGGCACCTGAGCGGTGGGTGTTGCCTTCTGACACACGTCTGGTGATGTCAGGGGGTGTGGCATATGCAAATAAGTTATGCTAATGAGCTCCTGCGCCTCTTTTTCTACGAAATGACCCCTGTCTAAGGATACATGTGCAAGAGAGCCCATGCGGCAACACTGTCTGTGCTGCCTCCCCCTTCATACTTTCTAGGGAGTAAACCATCACTTCCATTGCAAATAGGGTGGGGGGTGTAGTCTCTAGCTAATCCAGTCCATGACATTCTGGTTCCCATCACTTTTCACATTGTGACTCCCATGATGAGCCTGTAACCAGTGGCCCATTTTGAAACTCCTAGCTTTATTTTCTGATCAGTTGTGCCTGCCACAAACAGACAACTACAGCTTCCATTGCAAATAGCGTGGAGGTGTGTGTGTGTGTGGGGATGTTAATGTAATCCAGTGTCCTTCAGTTTTTGCACAGTCATGATCATTAAAATGTGGAATTCACTGTGGGAGGATGCGGTGATGGCCACAGGAATAAGCAGCTTTAAAAGGGGATTAGGTAGATTCATGGAGGATGAAGTCTGTTAGTGGCTACTAGCCATGGCGACTGAGGGGAACCTCCACATTCAGAGGCACTAAGCCTCTGAATCCCAGAACCAGGAGGCAACATCAGGGGAAGACCTCGGCCTCTATGCCCTGTTGTTGGCTGTCCAGAGGAACTGGTTGGCCGCTGTGTGAGACAGGATGCTGGACTAGATGGACCACTGGTCCAGGGCTCTTCAGATGTTCTTATGAAGGCCTGAGATTCTATGCCCTATTGTTGGCCCTCCAGAAGAACTGGTTGGTCACAGTGTCAGACAGGATGCTGGACTAGAGGAACTGCTGGCCTGATCCAGCAGGGCTCTTCTTATGTTCTTATGAAGGCCTGAGCCTCTATGCCCTGTTGTTGGCCCTCCTGAGGAGCTGGTTGGCCACTGTGTGAGACAGGATGCTGGACTGGATGGACTGCTGGTCTGATCTAGCAGGGCCCTTCAGGTGTTCTTATCAGGGGAAGGCCTCAGCCTCTCTGCTCTGTTGTTGGCCCTTCAGAGGAGCTGGTTGGCCACTGTGTGAGACAGGATGTTGGACTATATGGACAATTGGTCTGATCTAGCAGGGCTCTTCTTTTGTTCTTATTTTGTCACTCATTGTTTATTTTCTGTTTAGTTATGCCTGCCACAGGCGTGTGCGTGCACATACACACGCACAGAAGCACACATACTTTTGTTGTTATAGATAGGTACTAGGAAACTGCTGGCCCTTGTTTCACAGGGATGCTTGGATCAAATGGGAAGCTTTTGGAGGGTGTTGCACTATCAGACTCCGTGCCTGTGAGGGTGACAATTCCTTGCCTGTGGACCAGGAAGGAGCCTGGGGCAGTCCCGTTACGAGTTTATGGCAGCAGCCCTAGCCATTTGCAAATCTGCAACTAAGACGCACCATGAATCAGCCATGGGTGACTGTAAACCCTTGCATTTTTACTGCTTGGTACAGGGCACAGCAAAGCGGAAAGAACAGCAAGAGCATCTTCTGCGCAGTCTTGGTATCTTTACCGATTAGCTGGGCGTATTGAGGCTGAGCATTTGCACAAGGCATAGCAGCCCTCTAAAGACGCGAGGCCTGAGCATGGGCCTGCTGGGTGTTCTGAAGACAAATCAAAGGGACGCTTGAGCGGTTGACTTCTCTCTGACCTGGCCCCGTGTTCTCCACCTGCTGCCTGGAGCGTTTGTTCACCCCCTGCAGGGCACGTGAGCAGATGGAGGATAATGTTTCCTTTAAAAAGAATGTAACAGATACCAAATTGAGTTGATATTGAATTGGAAAAGCTGCAGCTACACAACAGTTGCATCTCACTTTTAGCAACATTTCTGATTGGAATAGATGTTGCACAGGGATAAAAGCAGGGGTCATTTCCTGCAGGAGTGGAGCTCCGGCAGTAAAGAGCCCAGGGGGCGGGCACATGCAACAAGCCTCGCCCCCTGCTCCCAGCAGCCCTGGGCCACAAGGAGCAAGAAGCAGCCAGGTAAGTTGCAGAGCCCCCTCCCCCCCCCGATAGCAATCCAAAACAGTCCAGTGGCACCTTTAAGGCCAAGGTTTATTCAGGTACGAGCTCTCCCTCCTCTGTGAGGGCAGATCTGCGCGTCTCCCCCCCCCCACAGCTAGCAATCCAAAAGAGTCCAGTGGAGCCTGAGTGGTGGGTGTTGCCTTCTGACACACTCCCAGTGACGTCAGGGGGCGTGACATATGCAGATAAGTTATGCTAATGAGTTATGCTAATGAGCTCCTGCGCCTCTTTTTCTACGAAATGACCCCTGGATAAAAGGGAAGCAGCGTTCAGTGCGCCTCAGCATGCATTTACATGCATTTGTGCTGAAGTCTGATGTCCTTCTGTCCCTGCTGGTTAGAAAGTCCATGCCCAGAATGGCAGGAGAAGAAATGCAGTGAACTGGATAAAGCAGCCACTGTAAGCTTTCCCGTTTTACCTGGACAGGGAATTCAAGACATTGACCAAGGTCCCAAGTTGCCAGTTCTCAGCAAGGAGAATTCCTTCCTGCACCCTAGCTGTATCCTTACATTCAGATATAATCAAATCTTTTTAACCTCTGACAACAGCAAGATCAAGTTGCCAATCTCCAGGTAGTACCTGAACTTCCCCCAGAATTTCATCCCCTGGAGGAAATAGCAGCTTTGGTCGGCTGACTCTATGACTGCGATCACACAGTCTAAATAATCCATTTTCAATTCACTTTCAAAGCACTTTCCAACTGGATTTTACTGCGTGAACTTGCAACATCCAGTTGCTTTATCAGTCTAAGATATCACAAGTTATTTGATCCCTCTGCAACCTGACCTTATTCTTTTAGATCATTGGAATGAATGCCCTATTCCTAAGCTTAGACAGGACCTTATTTCAGTTTTACTGACGGCTGCTAAGGTGGTTATGGCCAGTAGTTGGAAGTCCCCCAGTAAACTGCTACTTTCCTCATGGCGTTTAAAAATATGGGTCTACTGTATTATGGATAAAATACCTGATGTAATTGCCAGTGCGAATCTTCCCTATAAGAAATTGAATCTTCATTTGAAATGGTTTCCTTTTCTTGAGTATATGTTTAATGCTGGGTCATCTAAATTCAAAGTTCCCAAAAAGTATTATGAAGTATTTCACCATATGTAAACTACATTGCATTTCTTGCTTGTTAATGTATTGACCAAGTTCAGTTCCAATGCTGATATATGTATTGATTGTTTATTACTGTTTAAAATAAAAAAAGAAATTTGAAAAAGAAAAATAACTTGTCAATAAGCCCAGGGTTCCAGCCAATGTTCCCTCTAAACTGTGGGGTCTTGTGAGCAAAAATTCTACTTCATGAGCTACTGGCATTACAGTTGTGAGCCAGCGATTTGGCTCCTGCATAAATTAGTTGGCTCTGGAGCCATTCTTCCTGAGCTAAGACAAAAATCTGTGAGCCGGAGGCTAAAAACCTGTGAGCTAGCTCACACTAACTCAGCTTAGAGGGAACACTGGTTCCAACCAGGTTCCAGCCTTGATCCACCAAGCACCATCGTGGCCACCAGCAAGCATGCAGCCCCAAACAGAGTTACACTCTTCTAAGTCATCTCGATGGGCTTGGAAGAGCATAACTCTGTTTAGGAGGGCCTGTCTTTCCCCCATCCCCCATGTCTTCAGCAAGGGGTCTGGCAGCCAATGCTCCCTCTAAGCTGTGGAGTCTTGTGAGCAAAAATTCTGCTTTGTGAGCTACTGGCATGAAAGTTGTGGGCGAACGATTCAGCTGCTGCATAAATTAGTCGGCTCTGGAGCCATCCCTCCTGAGCCGAGACGAAAATGTGTGAGCCGGAGGCTAAAAAGCTGTGAGCTAGCTCACACTAACTCAGCTTAGAGGGAACACTGCTGGCAGCCCTCGCTATTATTTAGAAGACACAGAGGAAGGAGCAACATGTCAACTTGGCCAGGGAAGCAAAACAGATGAAACATTTTGAGCTGCATCCAACCAGCTTCTCTGCTGGCCAAGAAGGAAGGAGGGGGCCTCCTTCGACTTCCCCAAAACAGCTATGCTGGGGATCATGGGACCTGGATGGACAAGAGCCGTGGGCGTCAAGGGCTGTAGTAAAGAGGGGGACTGGATGAGACTGAGTGAAAGAGCTGAGTGGATCCAACCCCTTGGGCTGCCTCAGATTTTCCCAGTTTTGCAGCATGGTGTTGTAGTTAAGAGTGGTGAACTCTGCTCTGGAGAACTGGGTTGGATCCCCAGCTCCTCTGCATGGTGCCTGCTGGGTGACCTTGGGCCAGTTCCAGTTCTCTCAGAACCCACTCAGCCCCATCTGCCTTTCCAGGTGCCTGTTGTGGGGAGAGAAAGGGAATGTGCCTGTAGCCCACTTTGTGACTCCTTAAGGTAGAGAAAAACGAGGTATGAAAAGCTCCTTCTAAACTTGTTATCTCTCCACTCCCATCTAGCAAAAGGCTGCAGAGGAATTCCAAGCACTGTCCCAAGACAAAGGATTTCCTGTAAATGTTGACAAGGGTAATTGAGGAATTTTATCTTTGCAGGTGCAATATGAGTTTCGCCAATTTTTCCAGTATGGAAGAAATCCCTTTGGAGGACGAGGACAGAACCAGCATAGAGTACAGGGTGCTGATGGCTTACGCCCAGCGCCGGCTCTCTGCTAGCAAATACAGCCAACTTCTAGAAGGGGGAGCCAAGGGCCAGGAGGGACCAGGGGCCACCCCAGCAGAGCAAGGAAAGGCAGCCCAAGAGAAGCCTCCTGAGGACCTCAAACCTACGGCTAAAAGGAAGAGCCAAAAGAAGAAGAAGAAGAGGGAACGATCCAGCTGGAAGCGCCTTTTGGTGCCATCCTGTCTACGGGGGCAAACGAGAGGGAGCTCTAGGAAGAGTGAAGTGAACGGGAAGCTGCCAGAGTATCAGGGAGGCGCTAGAATAAAACCCACCTCTTTTTCAACAGAAGCACAAGGTGGGTTTAGTTTTCCTTCTTCTTTTTTGTTGCCAGTGGTTAAATACTGAAGCCATGATCAAGCCACAGTTTGCGCCCCATCCATCTCAACAACAAAGTTTTAAAATAGGTCCTTAACTCTCTACCACTGAAATCAACAGAACCTAGAACCCCTTAACAAGGGCTGGGCCACAGCCTGAACAGGAAAACAAGAGGGCTTCACCCATCACCAAGATGAAGGAAGGCCAAGGCCAAATGCCGATGGGGGCAGCGGGAAGGTGAAGTTCACTATACAGATACCTATGTGTTTTCCATGCAGCTTCACCAATAGGCTTGCCACGTCCCCCCGGAGGACGGGGAAACCCTGCCCCAGAGGCCCATTACCTGCCGCCGGTGGATCGGGCCCTGGGGGGAACCCCACCCCCAAAGCACGTGACGTGCCCGATGTCAGCATGTCACCCGGAAGTGACGCAGCCACGCCGGGCACGGCCGCATCACTTCCGGGTGACGTGGTTGCGGCGCCCGCGCGTGCGCTCCCAGACCAGAGCTGGAGTCCCCCGCTGTACATACAGCAGGGACTTGGCAACCCTATCACCAAGTACTTGTGTTTATATAATTAGAGGGTTTTTCAATTTAGGTAGTGTTAAGTCACTCGCTTAACAAAGTAGTCGGAGAGTGATTCAGCAAAGATTCAGCTTTATTCAACAACTCAAACACAACTCCAACACAGATCAACATCTGGTAGCCAGAACAGCTTTTACATTGCAGCTGCCCTGCTTTTAAATTCTCCCAGCTAATGTAGCCACGCCTACTGTACAAATACCAGCCAATAAGGTTGCATACATAAGGACCAATCACGGACATTGCCGCTCAGGGAACTTGTTGATAGTGATTGGTTAGGTGCTTCCTGGGCTAGCAATGTGATTGGACGTATTTGGATCCTAGCCCAGGACGAAGCTTAACATAGCATTTCAATTAGATGTTTTCATAACACATTATGCATTCAATCGCAGCTTATTGAATACATTACAGGTAGCATCCTCCTCACGTGTGCGTCTTCATTTATGTTTCTTCTAAAGGTGGTTTTAGTATTTTGATGGCTTTAATATGATTTATCGACGGTCCTTGATCTGAGTCCAGTAGCACCTTAGACACCAATGAGATTTTCGGGTTATAAGCATTTGGGAGCCAAAGCTTTGACTCTTAAAAGCTTCGACTCAGATCTTGCCGGTCTACAGTAGACTCACATGACTAACCTCTGAAGCTATTAATGTATCTTCTGTATCCCGTTTCAGATCCCCAATGAAGTTGTCATGCAAAATGCATAGGAGCTTTTTTAGTATCCATATAATAACTGTTCCCTTTCCCACTGCACCTTCAGCATTTGGCCTTGCCTATTAACCCCCTGGATGCCAAAGCCATGGCAGAGAGCTCTTGGAAAGAATTCCTCAGCTGACTGCCACCCGTGGGGCTGGATGAGTGCCCTCTCTCTCCCGGGGGTTCTTCTCCCCAGTGCTACAGAGCAGGGGTCATTTCCTGCAGGAGCGCACAGGAGCGGAGGTCCGGCAGTAAAGAGCCCAGGGGGTGGGCACATGCAACAAGCCCCACCCCCTGCTCCCAGCAGCCCTCAGTCAGAGCAAGAAGCAGCCAGGTAAGTTGCAGAGCTCCCCCCGGCCCCCTGATCCAAAACAGTTCAGTGGCACCTTTAGGTTTTATTCAGGTACAAGCTCTCCCTCCTCTGTGAGGGACAGATCTGCACGTTCCCCCCCCCCCAATAGCTAGCAATCCAAAACAGTCCAGTGGAGCCTGAGCAGTGGGTGTTGCCTTCTGACACACTTCCAGTGAGGTCAGGGGGTGTGGCACATGCAAATGAGTTATGCTAATGAGTTATGCTAATGAGCTCCTGCATCTCTTTTTCTACGAAATGACCCCTGCACGGTTGAGAGCTTGTGTCCATCCAGGCTCATGCTCAGGGAGTCCACATTCAGTTGACTTGTCACACTGCCCTTTCCTGGTCTGGATTCCCTGCTTCAGCCAGAAAATTATGTGAGTGATTACAGCTCACATCTTTTGCCGTGCAGTCTAATGGATAGATTAGGTCGGTGGTCCCCATTGTGGCTGTTTTGCTTTGAGAAGTTCCCTGGCTGAGGTGCAAGAGGGCTTTCAGAAGGGCCCAGGAGGCATCACCTTTGTGCCTGCAGGGAATAGTCACTTGGAAACAGGAAAGTATCTGGCTTAGCCAGGGGTCATTTCCTAGAAAAAGAGGTGCAGGAGCTCATTAGCATAACTCATTAGCATAACTCATTTGCATATGCCACACCCCCTGACCTCACCAGAAGTGTGTTAGAAGGCAACACCCACTGCTCAGGCTCCACTGGACTGTTTTGGATTGCGAGCTATGGAGGGGGGGGGACGGGGGAGGGATGCACAGATCTGCCCTCACAGAGGAGGAAGAGCTTGTACATGAAGGCGGGCCGGGGGGGTGGGGGCTCTGAAACTTACCTGGCTGCTTCTTGCTCTGACTGAGGGCTGCTGGGAGCAGGGGGTGGGGCTTGTTGCATGTGCCCGCCCCCTGGGCTCTTTACTGCCGGAGCTCCACTCCTGTGCGCTCCTGCAGGAAATGACCCCTGGGCTTAGCGCCTTTCTCTCTTTTGTGGAGGCCCCCAGCATTTTGCCCTTGGCCCTATTTTAACGACAGTCACTGACCGTTCCCATTCCAAAAGTGCTCGTAGGCTCAGCAAAGCTCAGTACCCCCTGGGTCCAGGTGAGCCAGGGGTGCCAGCTCCAGGCTGGGAAATACCTGGAGATTTGGGGGGTGGAGCCTGAGGAGGGCAGGGTTTTGGGAGGGGCTTCAGTGGGGCGTAATGTCATAGAGTCCGCCTTCCAAAGCAGCTGTTTTCTCCAGGGGAACCGATCTCTGTCACTGGAGACCAGTTGTAATCCCAGGAGATCTCCAGCTGCCACCTGGAGGTTGGCAACCATATGGGCGATGAGGGCTCAGTTTTCTCCCCCCCCCCCTTATTATTCTCTGCCTCTCAGTCTGAGCAATCTGATAGTGATCTTGTGTGGATAAGATGGAACAGGCTGCCGAGACCCTTGGAAGAAAGCGGTGATGATGCGTAATTAATCATTGCTTCATCGCCATAATCATAGACACAATATGAAGGTTAAAAGGTGCAATCCACTACAAGTACGGGATTCCCAGGTGGGAGAAGGGAGGTCGGGGCTGGCTCTCAAGACACGCCCATCACTCCATGCCTGCAATGCCACACGTTGGCTTTCACATATGAATCGGCCTAACCGAGCCCCACAGACAGAAGGGTGTGTGTGACTGGGGTATCAGGCAGTGAACGTAGTGGGCAGCAGGGCTCCCTCTAAGCTGTGGAGTCTTGTGAGCAAAAAAAAATTTCTACTTTGTGAGCTACCAGCATTAAAGCGGTGAGGGAGCGATTTGGCTGCTGCACAAGTCAGTTTGCTCTGGAGCCCTCCTTCCTGAGCGAAGACAGAAATGTGTGAGCCGGAGGCTATAGAGCTGTGAGCTAGCTCACACTAACTCATCTTAGAGGGAACACTGGGTGGACAGTTGATGATACATTTGACAGGGTATGGGAGGTGGCTGGAGATTTGACGGTGTATGGGAGGTGGTCGGATGGTGACTGGAGATTTCCTGGGATGATCTTCAGGTGACAGAGATCAGTTCACCTGGAGAAAACGGCCACTTTGGAAGGTGGATGCTATGGCGTCATACTTCCCTCCCTAAACCCCGCCCTCCACAGGCTCCACCCCAGATCTCCAGGTGTTCCCCAGCCCGGACCTGGAAACCCTAGGCAGGGAGCACCCCGCCCCAATCACCAGGTATTTCCCAACCTGGAGTTGGCACCCCAGCCACATCAGCACACCGACTCCGAGAGAGAGAGATGTACCTTCCCATCCTTTTGCACCATCAGTAGTTTTCTCTTGGACCCAGGACAGGGTTCAGTATTCTGGCCCGTGTGCCTTTCAGCAATCCCCGTCTAGAAGTGCCTTCCATTAAAAGCGGAAATAAAAGAGCCCTTGAAAGAAAGTGAATAGTGTACAATGCTAGCAGAGCTTGGTCTTAAAACCCAATGTGAAATAAATATGGTAAAGGCAGTTCTAACATTCTTAAGGGAGGGCACTCTAAGAAGAGGCAACTATTTATATTAAGGATCAGTCCACTAAGTCCAAGACCTTCACAAATGACTTGTGTAGGCTTACTGAAGTCTAGCCAAGCAACCATATTCAGTCCCCCACCCACAAATTCCCCGCCCCTTCCTCGAATTGATGATTAACCACACAACAAGACTCAACAGCTCAACATTCATCTCCACTTCCAAGGCATTTCTGTTGTTCTGTTAGGTGGCCTGTGGATTCCTCCCAACACCCTTGACAAATAATTCCAAGGGGGGCTGGGGGGAGCTACTGGAATAAAACCACTGTATTACCCCCCTAACCAGGGAAGCAGTTGGCCCCACCCTCTCATTGCTTAGATGCTGAGCCTCTTTGGCTGTTGCTTGCCTTCTATGTTTCATCTAACATAGGACCTCTCCTCTCTCTCTCTTACCTGGGCTTGGAACTGTAGCAAGTTACCATTTTTGAAGTTATTCTGTTCACAATAAGTTAAATGTACCTACATGAATATGTCATGTAAGATGTGCTTCTATTTTTGAAAGTACAATTTCTTTCTCCTGTTACCATTGGAGTCAGGTCATCTTTGTAATTTGTTTGAACAGCATTTTCACCTTAACTGGGAAATGTGGAGGATCGGGGATACTGCGAGAAAGCTTCCATGCTTCCAAGTCAAATGATACTTTAAAAAAATCATTTAACCCAATACTTCAAAGGGTTCACCCTAAAGCAAACATTTTAGCCTCTCTACCTCTACTCAGCATTTAAATGTTTGGTAGAAGACACTCCGTCAGTATTCACGAGACCACGGGTGCCTTAGGCCAAATCAAGGCATTAGTCCATCTAGCTTGGTGCTGCCTACCCAAATTGGCAGGGTCTTTCTAAGGAGAATCTTTCCAACTGTGCTACCTGAGATGCCAGAGACAGAGACCTTCGGGATGCAGAGTGGGGGCTCTGCCACTGAGCTGGACTCCTGCCCAAACAGGTCCACCCTTGGGGTCAAGTGGTGTCTGGAAAGCTTTGTTCCACCAGGATCTTGAAAGTGCTCTATCTTTGCGAAGGCAGCTGCTTTGGTCTGTCTTTCCAGGCTATTTGTGTACATAGAGAGCCAGTTTGGTGTAGTGGTTAAGTGCATGGAATCTAATCTGGGAGAACCGGGTCTGATTCCCCACTCCTCCACTTGTACCTGGCTGGATGACCTTGGGCAAGCCATAGTTCTGTCAGAGCTGTCCTTGAAAAAGAGCAGTTTCTGTCAGAGCTCTCTCAGCCCCACCTACCTCACAGGGTGTCTGTTGTGGGGAGGGGAAGGGAAAGGAGTTTGTAAGCCGCTCTGAGACTCCAAGTGAAGGGCGGGGTATAAATCCAATCTCTTCTTCTTCTACATACAAGGAGCAGCCATGCACTCAGCCCCCTCCATGGCGTCTAGCGGGGCATCCCTGTCTCCTGTGAGGGTGGTGCAAACTGTGTATGTACCTGAATAAAGCATCAGCTGGAAAAGAGAACCCTTCCTAGTCTGATTCTCTGTGTGTTTGTGTGTCTTTTTTTTTTTTTTACAGAGGATTCGGACATTGCTCGTGTGGCGGACAAGCTTGCTGAACTAGTCGATAATTCCAGGTCTCGCTCCAAAACAGAAGGTAGAGGATTAGTCCGTACGCTGAGCCTCGAGGAAGATGGCGGAGGGGCCTCCAAAATTGTGCTTGAAGGGCCCTCCAGAGTTGTGCCTCAAGGTCCTTCTGAGGATGATGGAAAAGGTAACCCCGCCTCCCCTCACAATTCGGCTATCGCTCACTCCTGCAGAGCTCAGGTTTTAAAGTTCGCTGCTGCCAGGCCGCCTTTCCTGTAGATTCACATGCAGGAGAATTCCTGTGCCCTGCAGCGGATCTGGTACATGGGTGCAAGTGCCCTCGCCTCTGGCCCATTGGCCAAGCACCTGGAGCCTCCCTGTTGTCCCGTGATCCGGTCGCACAGGCCCCTTACATTTTCAGAGGTGTCTTGATGCGCAGCATGCCCTGGGAAGGCCTGTGGTCAGGGGTACGGTCTTTCAGGGAGGCTTGTCTGGCCTAACTGAGCCTGATTTGCTTCCAAGGAACTGCAGTTTGGAAATGAGGCCACCAGGGGGCAGCTGGGGCAGGCCCGGTAAATAACGATAAGACTCAGTGGTTTAGCCACTCCTCCAGTCTCTCCAAACTAACGGAGAAGGGAGAATCGGCAAAGAGGAGGCCTCTTGGTGGGGTGAGGTGATGACTGGAGACCTTCCGCTATTACAACTGATCTCCGGGAGACAGATCAGTTCACCTGGAGAAAATGGCCGCTTTGGAAGGTGGATGCTATGGCGTTATACTTTGCATGTTAGGCCACACACCCCTAATGTAGCCAATCCTAATGAGTTTCTGCTGTTGGGTGTGGCCTATTATGCTAATGAGTTTCTGCTGGGCGTGGCCAACTCAGGAGCCAGCCGGAACTCCGTTCCTGCACGTTCCTGCCCAAAAATAGCCCTGCTTCCCTCCCTAAACCCCGCCCTCCACAGGCTCCACCCCAGATCTCCAGGTATTTCCCAGCCCGGACCTGGCAACCCTAGGCAGGGGGCAAAGGGTAGTGAGGAAATATAAATGGGGGCACATAGGAGAAGTACGTGATTTTCTCCATTTGTTTAAAAAGTCTGCCAACAAGCTCTACGAATTACCTCCAAGCATACAATTTTGTTTGTTAATTTAGTGACGATTTATTTGACATGAGTTCGAAATTAGCCAGTGTAAGGTTTATTCTCCTGTCTCTTTGCCAGACAATGAAGAAAAGATCATTGACACAATAATTGCCTTGTTAAGAAAAACAGGAGATGACCTAGAGAAAAAGGTAAGTCATTTTGGGAAGGCGCTTATTTCTCTACGATCTTTCTTGGCGAGCAGGGAATCCTAACGCTCACAAGCCGGAAGATCTTCGGTCTCTTTTTGTTTTCATACACTCCATCAGGCCTGTCTTTTCCACGCTTCCCTTTTCGCAAAGCTTTATAAAAGAAGGCTTCCCTTGAATGGAACAAGGACAGCAGTTGGTGGAACTGGGTCAGCCATCCTGTAGGGGTACTCTGCCAGACTTTTACCAAGAACATGGTACTATGCAGTGTTCCCTCTAAGCTGAGTTAGTGTGAGTTAGCTCACAGTCTTTTAGCTTCCAGCTCACACATTTTTGCCTTAGCGCAGGAAGAATGGCTCCAGAGCAAACTAATTTATGCAGTAGCCAAATCACTCGCTCACCACTTTAGAAGAAGAAGAAAAGATTGGATTTATACCCCGCCCTTCACTACCCAAAGGTGTCTCAGAGCGGCTTACAAACTCCTTTCCCTTCCCCTCCCCACAACAGACACCCTGTGAGCAATGCTCCCTCTAAGCTGTGGAGTCTTTTGAGCAAAAATTCTACTTTGTGAGCTACTGGCATCAAAGTTGTGAGTGAGCGATTTGGCTGCTGCGTCAATTAGTTTGCTCTGGAGGCATCCTTCCTGAGCTAAGACGAAAAAGTGTGAGCCAGAGGCTAAAATGCTGTGAGCTAGTTCACACTAACTCAGCTTAGAGGGAACACTGCCTGTGAGGTGGGTGGGACTGAGAGAGCTCTTCACAGAAACTGCTCTTTTTTCAAGAACAGCTCTTATCAGAACTACGGCTTGCCCAAGGTCATCTAGCAGGTACAAGTGGAGGAGTGGGAATCAAACCCGGTTCTCCCAGATTAGAGTCCGCACAGGGAAAAGAATCTTTTTCAAGTGCTCTGTGTGTGTGTGTGTGTGTGTGTGTGTGTTAAGTACCGTCAGGTTGCTTCCAACTTGTGCTGACTCTATAAATTAATGTTCTCTCGAACGTCCTGTTGTTAAAAGCCTTGATCAGGTCTGGCAGAGTGAGGGCCTTTGTGGCTTCCTTGGTTGAGTCAATCCAGCTCGTGTTGGGCCTTCCTCTTTTCCTGCCTCCTTCCACTTCTCCCACCGTTATTGTTTTTCCCAGTGACTTCTCATGATGTGACCAAAGTTCGATAGCCTCAGTTTAGTCATTTCAGCTTCTGAGGGGAGAGTCCGGGGAGTCCGTTTTGAGCTCTCTGAGGCCGTGTTTGTCCTGCCTCAGCGATGAGCATTCTGAGCATGTGTGTGCGCCCTGAACCAAAACCCTGACTGCTCACCATAGCCAACATTCTTACGGGGCCTGACAGCTTGTGCCGCCAACTTCTCTTTTGGCTCCCAGACTGCTGTGTGGAGAACAGAGCAAGCCCCAAGAACTCAGAAGTTGGCTGTCCCTGAGACAGATCATTGGCACAATCCTGAGTCAGAGGCGAACAGTTTAATTTTTTTGTGTGCCACAAGGTGGAGTCCCAGTAGCGTCCAGCCCGTTTTCACAGTTTTCGAGATTGGCTTGAGGACATCAGAGTGGCTGGACGCGTTTTCGCAAAGCTACGGGCCCCATGGCAAGTTGGCTGCTCAGAGTATTTTGTGGTGGTGGAAGACGAGTTGGTTTCCATCATTGGGACAGAGATAGGAAAACTGGATTTACTTTGAGACACATTCCGATTCCTGGCCTTGAAGCTGCGAACCCCACCCCCCACCCTGGTCATGAAATTAGTTGGGTGGCCCGTGGGGGGCAGGGTTACCAACCTCAAGGTGGAGCCTGGAGTTCTCTTGGCATTACAGCTGGTTTCCAGTCTACTGTGATCAATTCCACTGGAGGAACTGGTGGCTTCGGATGGCATCTATGACATTGTGTATCCATGGGGCTTCCTCTCCTCCCCAGACCCTGCTCTCCCCCAGGATCTCCAGATTTCCCAAGCCAGTTGGCAACCCTGGTGGTGGTGGGGAGAATGGCTCCCTCTGTACTCTCCCCACTCTGACAAATTGTTTTGTGTTCATTCCCAGATGCAAAAAGACGAGCGCTTCCGTTTGAGCTTCTGGGATTTGATGTCCTACTCCTTCTTCAGAAGAATCACAGATCAGTTCTTAGAGGTAGTTCCTGTGGACCCTATGGGAGACTCCGAGACCCACGTGCAGAGCACGAAAGTGGCTTACGTGATGGAGGTCACAACCAGACTCACTGCAGTAGACAACCATCCCATGAATCTCGTGTTGGGCTTTGGGACAAAGTACCTCAAGGAAAACTTCAGGCCTTGGGTCTGCAGCCAAGGTGGATGGGTAAGAAAGCCGGGTAGCTCAGCCTGACGATTCCCTTTCCCCACACACCTTTGATCTGTGATGGCTCTGGGGGCTGTGGCTGGTTCCTGGATGGGTGGGATTTTTGAGAGCCAGTTTGTTGCAGTGGTTAGGAGCACGGACTCTAATCTGGGAGAACCGGGTTTGATTCTCCACTCCTCCACGTGCAGCTCCTGGTGTGTCCTTGGGTCATTCATAAGTTCTTTCAGAGCTGTTCTCTCAAGGGCAGTCCTCGAAAGAGCTCTCTTAGCCCCGCCTACCTCACAGGGTCTCTGTTGTGGGGAGGGGAAAGGAGATTGTAAGGCTCACTGAGACTCCTTCGGGTAGTGAAGGGCAGGGTATAAATCCAATCTTCGTCTTCTTCAAGTCACAGCTGACTTATGGCAACCTGTGGGGTTTTCAAGGCAAGGGAGGTTCAGAGGCACAACATAATATCCAAGCATTCCTACTCATTCCCTGTTCCTAGCATTTGCCCTGACCTGGATAGTCCAGGCTTGCCAGATCTCTGAAGCGAAGCAGGGTCTGCCCTGGTTGTGTTTGGAAGGGCAACTGTCAAGGAATACCAGGGTCATGAGAGAATGTTGGTCCCCTCTCTCCCACATTTTCCTTTGAGCTCCCCAAAAGACTTTGAGCAGCACTTGAAACTCGGACCTCGGGGGACGGTGGCAAGCAGCTTCTGTCTGCAGAGCCATCACATGTGAAGGTGGGTGCCTTCAATAACATCACACCTATTTCTGTAGAGAACCTGAAGTCGATTTGATCAGTGCATTAGGAAAGCTGCTTTCCCTGTATTAATTGAGACTTGTACAAGTTGGGCACCCCCTGAGTGGAACACGGCTGCCTTAGCTATGCATTATGGTCTCTCTTGTGCTTGCCTGGGGCAGTGATGCTCTGTATTCTTGGTGCTTGGGGGGGGCAACAGTGGGAGGACTTCTGGAGTTCTGGTCCCACTGGTGAACCTCCTGATGGCACCTGGGTTTTGGCCACTGTGTGACACAGAGTGTTGGACTGGATGGGCCACTGGCCTGATCCAGCATGGATTCTCTCATGTTCTCATCCACCTGTTTTTGCAATCTCTTTTGTTACCTAGTGGGTCACACCTTGGGCCTGAATTGATACGCAGTGGTAGTTGTGAAGCTGGTCCCAGTGTTCCATTGCCTTGCTGAGGATCCCAAAGCATCCAGAATGGTACGGTATTAACGTGACTTTTCTCTTTGCTTTCAGGAAAAAGCCTTGGGATTATTGGACCAGGAAGAAGTGGAATAACGAAAGACTGTGCATTTCAGGAGATGGTTTCTTAATCTGTAACAGCCCGTTGGATGAAAGAGAAAGAGAAGGATGCATCTTTGGGAATGGATTCCCCCCCCCTGCCCCGCCCCATGAGATTTGTAGCACCGTCCTAAGTAGCCTTACACCCTTCCAAGCTCCTTGACTTCAGTGGACTTAGGAGGATGCGACTCTGCTCAGGATGGCACACTTGGTCGCTCTCCGGTGGCTTCTTGGCACCGCTAGGATGCTCGGTGTGTGCCCAATGAAGCTCCGTGTGCCGCTCTTCAGAAGAGGGGAGCGTATCTCACTGTGACGTTTTAGCTTTCAACTTAGCAAACTTTTTTTTGGGGGGGAAGAGAAACACCCCACCGGTTTTTCTCAATATGTGTTTATAAAGAAAAATAGCTGAATGAAGTTTTTTTTTAAAAAAAGCGGGCTGGAAACTGGAGGATGAAGGACAAGAGTGCCAGTTCTGGCATGAGGCTCTGAACAGCTGCATAGATTCCAGCAGCTGTTGTCCGTCCAGGTGACCTTTGGGTAGGTGAGGCAGAGAACGGGGAGGAACATCTGGTGGAGTTCTTGCTACTTCAGACCAAGTGGGCAAAACGGCATGTTTGAACGGAATACTGCAGAGGATTTCCTAGAATAGTCGTTCCCCGTGTCTTCTCACCTCCAGATAAATTTCCGCATGCAGGGAGATATTTACAGGGAAGAACGTTTGCTGGTGGAGATGTCTTACCTGCAGCTTGGGGGCGCAGTCCAGCAGGAGCTTAGCTGTTTGGTGCCCCAGGTCCTGTGATCCGGATCATGGCAGCGTCTCGGAAAACACTGGAACTCAGTTATGAGGAAAGCATAAGACCCTGAAACCGTTGCAAATAAATATAGAATATAAGCTAGTTGTGGGGAAGGGTAAGAGGGCCAGGAGCGAGCCGCTTTTGAAAGCCTGCTGAAATGCTCTCATTCTGGTTGCCAGGGTCATCTGAGCCTGTTGTAGCTCGTGTCATACTTGAAATGTTTGCGAGGGCTTCCAAGACTTGAAATCCCACACCATCAGAGACTCTCCTCTCCTTCCCTCTTTTCGAAAGGGTGGCGTTGTAATGCCATCTGCATTAGGGAGGGCAAGAGGGGAGGCCTCTGGCCAAAGCCGGTCCTCCTCACCTGTAGGGTCTGCCCCACCTGTTTCCAGCCCCGGGAGGGGCAACGAGGGCTGTGGAGGTTCCCGCAGCCATGATCCAAGGGCTTGCAGGCAGGCCTCTTGGGAAGGTCAGGTGATGGGGCTCGGGCTCCTCAGCTCTGCTGTAGGACTCTCTGTGGTCTTTCCAGGCATGCCTGTCCCCCCCCCCCCCGTTTCTTTGAGATTGTCTTGGCTGACAAGCAACAGGGTAGAGGGCGTAAATGTGTCAAAACTGATAAATGCTGAATATGTTTCAGGACCAGGCCCCTCTACTGTGAAGGAGGCTGCTCCTCTCTCATTTTCTGTCTGTCTGATTCGCCGGGTGAGTGCAATTTTTCTGTGGGTCCGTTGATGGCTGCGAGCACGCAAAAGCTCCCTCTAATGGGAGTCTAGCATTGTGTTACGTAACCCGGCAATGAAGAAATCCCTAGCGGGGCTCTCTTTGCTTAAAAGGGAGCGCTCAGCTGAGCTTCCACAAGGGCGTTGCAATTCATCTGAGGGTTTTTTCCCCTTATGGAGTTGAGCCAGCCAAGTGTAACTGATCACAACGCACCTTGATCAGTAATTCTGATCAGGAGGCATCGTGTCCTCTTGGCTTTGGTCTGGAGCTGGCTGGCAAGAATCCCGTCTCTACGGCTTTGCGCTGCCCCTTCGTGTGCAGCGAGGCAGGATGTGAGGCGGACGTGCCAAACTCACACTGGCTCCAAGGAGGGTGGTGGGCTGCAGCGGTCCCAGAAGACTCAGCTGTTTCTCATTCCACCCCCACGTTGCTGGGTGGGGACGAGAGGGATTTTCTTCATCGGGAGCCAGTACGGAAAGCCACTAGCCAAGAAAGCTGAGTTGTATCGAAGGCCTGCTTTTAATTTGATTTGGACTCGCATCATTAGTTAAATATCACAGTCTCTTGCTGTCCAGGAAGTGAGAAAGTAACTTTGGTGAAGAGCAGGCAAGACATGTTGAACTTGGAATACGTTCATCCTAGTGGACTAAACCATTTGATTGGCTGTTGCTTGTGGGTAGACTAACAAAACTGTGAAAGGAAATCAATTTGGATAGGATCATCAGCTGCTGGGTGAGACAGGCTGAATTCTGTCCCGATTGTGGGTTGGTTTTTTCCCCCCAAATTTACTCCTGCCAAATTAGTCAAGAATCTGATTCCAGGCCGCGCTTTCTGCCATTCTCTTCAACAGGTTTAGTTAGTCATATTTAAGAAGCACTCTTTGTTGTTTTTTAATGGTTGACGATGTTGAGACTTTGCAGCTCAGTGCAAATGCAAACGTCTCAATTTACGACTATCCCAGATGAAATGGGAGGCTGGAATTTCTTTCGTAGGTGAAGATCAGATTTAAGACTAGCGGGGGGGGGGGGCGGCTGTGCCACAGTGACCCACTTGAATGAAACTGTGACCATTTTCATTGGACTGATTGTACAGTTTGACCCTCTTTACTTTTGACAAATGTAATAAAAGAAAAAACACAGGAAGTGGCTGAGGTCTCATTCAGTGCGACGAAGAGCCAGACAAATATAAGGCGTCTGGCTCAGATATGGCCCGGAAGCCTCATAGAACAGGGAAAGTACCACCAAACTGCTAGCATTTATTTACTGGGCAATCAGTAAAATCACGGTCTCTCAGGTACTAGGCAGCTCCAGATGAGCAGGCCCAAACTCTGCTTCCGTTCAGCTGTAATCGCACTGGATCCTGGTTCCTTCCAGAACACCCCAAAGCTTCATCTAGGGCTGCCAGGCCTTAAGTGACCTAGCTGCAGGTTTCTTCTCAGGGTGAGAATGAGCCGTTTTCTGCTTTGCTTGACTGAAGCTATTTTGGTATTTGCTCCATGTGTAGATCCCTCAGCCTCCATCTTGCTGCAGGGATCTATATACCATGACAGATGGAACCGCCTCAGCACTTTGCTCTTGACCCCAAGGCCTCACATGATTGGAGAATATTCTACTGTTGCCTTATTTTCACTGGGGGTACACCTGGCCCTTGAAGGTTGGAAGCCAAGTCTTTCCACTGAAAAGAATGGCTTTTCGAATTTTAAAGGAGAGATTGGATTTATACCCCACCCTTCACTACCGGAAGGATTCTCAGAGCGGTTTACAAACTCTTTTTCCTCCCCCTCCCCACAACAGATGCCCTGTGAGGTAGGTGGGGCTCTTTCAAGGACTGCTCTTGGGAGAATGGCTCTGGGGGAACTTGTGACTGACCCAAGGTTACACCAGCAGCTTCATGTGGAGGAGTGGGGAATCAAACTCGGTTCTCCCAGATTAGAGTCCACGCCCCTAACCACTACGCCAAACTGGCTTCCCAACATAGTTCCAGATATTTCTGATATTTTTGGGTGGGAAAAAAGTATTGGAATTGGGAAGTATTGGCAAATCATTTCACAGTATGGGATGCTGCCAATCTGATACCAGAAATATTAAACAGTGTATGGATCTGGCATCATCCAATCGCACACTTTGAACCCTCCAGAGCCGCAATCCAGCCCTTTACTAGGCTGTGATCTACCCCTTCCCATGACCTTGCAAGGAGAACGGGAGCATGAGAGAGCTATTCAGTTTGTCAGTTGGTGGACTGATCTCATTTGGTATATTTTTGGGGGGAGAGCCAGTTTGGTGTAGTGGTTAAGAGTGCAGACTCTAATCTGGGAAAACCAGGTTGAAGTCCTCCCCCCCTCTTCCACGTGCAGCTACTTGTGTGACCTTGGGTCAGTTTCAAGTTCTCTCAGGAGCACTTCTGGAGAGAGCTCTCTCAGGATGTCTGTTGTGGGGAGGGGGAGGGAAAGGAGATTGTAAGCCGCTCTGAGACTCTGAGGGCAGGGTATAAATCCAATCTCCTCTTCTCCTCTTTAGGGGGCATTTGGGGGAAATACAGAGTCTGCTCCATTTGTTTTTTAACGGTATATTCCTCAAACTTTAGCTTTGGAGGATGTTAATTCATAGGGCTGCCATAAGTCAGAAGCGACTTAATGGCACTTCACACACACAACGACTCTCTCAACACTTAACAGAAACACTAACAGTGCCCTTCCCAACTTTCCAATATGGAATTAAAACGATAACTTTGCAAGTGCACATATAACACTCCAAAGCAATGATTCAGATGACCTTTGTAGCTCCGGGTCAACTAAGCTGAAAGCAGGTGGTTTTAGAAGCCACAAACGTTTTTTAGAAAAGTTTTAAAGGCACAGTTCCCCCATTGGATCATTAGGGGTCAAGAGCAGTTACGAATATACTCCATGCTTCAGCCCACCAAACGAGCAGCTCCATTGGGGAAATGTCCCTTTAAGGATGCTAAACGGAAAAAGTGGGGGTTTGGCTTGAGAAGCCAGCCTGTTCTCAGACGCTCCAGTCCTCAGCACAGAAGTTTGCACTGTATCGCCGCACCACAGGACTGTTGTTGAGGGAGGGGTAAGGAGAAAACTCAGACCCCATCTGCACCACAAGATATCTTATGCTTTCCAAGCTGAAAATCAGGACACATGTGGGACACTGTGTAGTAAGACTTGCGCCGTGTGGACTGCAGGGGTTAGATGTTCAGTGGTTAGATATGTACACCACACAGAGTTCGGTTTCCAAACGTCCACCATTTTGTTAACCAAAATCAAACCCCAGGATGCCATCGCTAACGTCTTCCACTCTTTGTTTTATTATAAAAATCAACATTTTTTTTTATTTGTTACAACTCCATGTATAGTAATAATTGAAAAGGTGGATGGGGAACTTTTTACAAGGTTTATATACACAGCTTGCAAGCAAAACATTTATAATACAAAAAAAAAGATTAGTGAGTGAACAGGGCTGACCAAATGTTGGTCATTATAACATAAATACATCCTCGCGAAGCTCCATCATACGGAAATTGAAGAA